TAGAAGGCACTAGATCGTAATAGAACGCACTAGATCGTAATAGAACGCACTAGATCGCATTAGAAGGCCCTAAATCGCCTTAAAACGCATTAGTATGCACTAAAATGCTCAAAACCAGATGAGGACGTATGTCGGGACAAGCCAGATCACCCAGATGTGGACGTACGTCAAGACAAGCCAGATGCGGACATACGGTACGTCGGGACAAACCAGGTCACCCAGATGCAGACGTACGTCGAGACAAGCCAGATGCGGACGTACGGCGGGCGTGTGCGCCAATAACGTTATTTTAGCTCTTTGTACGCCGCGTTGTACGGCAGTAGAAGGGCTTGGAGCCTCGTTTACGCCGGATTAATCCGCGGAAAACGGCACCATCCTGGGTATGGTGATAATGCTGGTATCCATGATACTTTACTGGTCTACTTATGTTATAGGACTCAAAAATGAACTTGAGACAGAGTCTAGCTAAAGAACTCTCTGCTTTGCCTCTAGCTATGCAAGTGACAGATCGGGATGCGACTGAATTTTTTGGGCCGTGGTTTTATGGATTTGCCAGCCATGATTCCATTTCTTTGAGCCATGAATTCCATATCTTGGCCTTGAAATTTGCAAGCAGCAAACTTATTTACAAAGTCTGTGCATGTGTTAGGCATCCCAAATCTCAAATTTTACTCTAAAAACAGTTGAACAGTATAAAACTGACATTTGTCAACACAACACATACCATTACGTAACAACATAACACTTTGGAACACAACTTATTACACAACAGGTTTTAATACAACAAAACATGACATCACATTATAACAAAATTATAAAACCACTCATCATAACATAAGACTACATAATAACATAACATAATACATTGTAATATAACACTATACATTGTAATGTAATGTATTGTAGAACATCAAAACAAATTAAACCACAATATATCAAAACAGAGCCCATTGTATAACAACATATCCTAATTATATCCCCTAAAACACATTATAAGACATCATAATGTAACACCACAGATTATAATATAACATATCATGATGCAGCACAATATATGACATTATAACTAAACCCAACACATTATAACACAACCTAACAATACATGATAACATAACACAACATATTATATTGAATTATAATGAGTTGATATGTTGGGTTATGTTATAAAACACATTTACAGTAGAACCTTGGTTAGCAGAGGCACCAGTTAACCAAAAAATCAATTAACAACAGAGAATTTTGATTACATTTACCTACCCTTTTTTTTAACCCCTAGCACTTGCCTAACTGTGCTATTGGAGACAATGATTCAATTTTGTGTGTCTCACAGCACAAATTTCTTCACCTGATTTTGGCTACTTTATATCAAATAATTATTAGTTGAGTCAATGTTTAGGTAAATTTTTATTATTCATGTTTGAGTGCAAAGATTTCTTTGTTAAATTTTCCATCTCAGGAAGAATGAGAAGACTTTTCATTTTTGAAAGCAGTTTTGAAAACTGATTTTAATTATTTGGTTGTTTATGATAAATCTGATTTAGTAGTAACAATTCATTTTTAGCAACATTAACCATTCGTTTTTTCAAATTTATTCACGTGAATGTTCTACTAAATAGTTTTTTATCAAAAGCATTCATGATGTGTTAATGTTATTTGCTTTTCATTGCATGCAGGAAGAAAAAGAAAATGGAGAGACTGAGTGCAAGCTGCTGTGTGAGAGCCAAGTTGAAGGAGAGTGCATGCACATGGCATGGAGCCCCAGCACGTCACTGCACTCGTCCCCACCTTCTCTAAAGCTGCTCCTTGCCACCAATGATGATGTCATCATTGAGTTCACAACCGATCTCAAGTCTTCGTTTGAAAAGGTATGATTGTTTCCTCATATATACCTACCTACTGTGTATATATATATATACATTTAGATATATTTGATTGATAAAAATTTTACCTACACTAACCATAAACAATTATAAGGGAAGCAGTTTCAATCTTTTGCCTATGTTGTTAGTCATTCTATCCTATTCTTCTATCCCAAGTTACCCATACTTTCCTATTCTTCTATCCCATGTTATCCATCTATCCTATGTTGCCCATACTATCCTATTCTTGCACTGTTCTTGGCAGTATGAGATTTTTATCCACACATTGGATCACTCACAGCGCATGTGGATCATTTTGATTATTAGCACAAGTTCCCAACAATTTCAACTGCTAGTGTTTTTATTGGAGTTCAAGAAATTTCTTGTGCCTTTATACAGATTTAGCAAAGCATTCACAAGAATTTGTAATGATTTGTCCTAATTATTTGTGTTACTGATAAATGGATTAAATTTGCTAGAAATTCAGCTTTGACACATTTCAATGTATAAATGTCCTCCAATTTACTATCATTCTGAAATAAAAAAAATCAATGGAATGCAGCGGATCAAATTTTTCTTGTGAGCCTTTTCTTAATGGGACAGGAACTGAAAATATACTTTTATACTGTTAGTAAAGCTGCTATATCATTCCAGAAAATATTGTGTTACAAATTTTTGAACCCATGATGAAAATTAGAGTGTCAAATTTTTAAATGTATATAAATGGTACAATTTTAACTTGTATAGTTCAAAGTTAAACTAATTGGGTACCTACATACCAAATCAAACACCAATAGGTTACAAACAAAATAGGTATGGAATAAGATGTAGGAGCTGCAACACAATTGAGATGTTCTGGTTTTTGAACATGCCTTTTTTTACAGGAACTTTTCCGTCATAGTAACTGCATCAATTCTTTGGCATGCAGTGGTATAAGTTCTACCTCATTGCTGCCAACATTATGGGCATCAGTGGGAGATGATCAGCTGTTAAGAGTGTGGTCTGAGCCAGAGGAAAGAAGTGACAATGCTTCTGAAACTGCTTTGGAAAATTCAGCTGAGGCGAGCTTAGTCTCTGGATGGTCTGAAAGTATCACATTACTAGAGCCAGGTTTGTTTCCGGCGTGTGGACTGATCATATTACTTGTTTGTTTCACACTCGAAATTATCAAATGAGGAGTATATTCAGGTTTAAATTAATTTTGTATTAATTCGAAGATTAGCGATGTGAAATTGTTTGCCTGTCAAGTACCTGCTAGCTGATGAGAAAAAGCTCAGTAATATTGATACATGTTATCTATTATTGATGTGTATATAATTCACGAGTCTCAGTTTGGCAGGAATATTTTCGGTGGTGCGCAGCTGAAGTAAACTTTTTTTCTTCAGGTCAGTCAGTGAAATTCCACCCTGAGGACAGCTCGCTTGTGCTCGTGTGTGAAGTGTCAGGGACGCTGCGTCTGTACCGCATCACGCCGTCCGAGGAAGACTCCTGCCAGCTCGTGGTGACGGCTGAGTGGTCCGTGCGCTGCCCTGCGCCGCTGCTCGACGCCGACTGGTCCTTGGTTGATCCTGACCTCATCATGGCTGCCTGCTCTGCTGGAGTTGCGCTCATCAACGTCAGCAGTAATGGCAGGTCTGATGAAAATTTGGAGAAAGTTCATTTTCATTGCGAGTTGTGGTATAAATTTATACAGGTATATTCTAATTTGCTGGTGCTAAAATTTTCCATGACCGACCTGAAGATATTCTGGCATGGCAATTTGTGTTATTTCAATACTGAATAATTTTTCCTTCCAACTACAGAGTACCAAGGCCTTTTATTTGTACTATACATAATAGTGTGCCCACACTCTGACAATCTGTTACGTGTTCACTAATTTGCAGCGCCCGCAAGTCCATGCTGGTGCTGAGTGGCAGCCACAAGAACTCGCTAAGTTCAGGGTACGGCGGTGGGCGGGGCGCCGTGAAGGTGCGGGGCGCCCGCAACAGTCCTGCCCTCGTCGCTGCCGTGACCGCCAGCAACAGCGTCACTGTACTGCACGCGACCGCATCCAGGATACCACTGACCGCTCACCTCAAGGTAAGCTCGGCAAGCGATTCTTATATTTAATTTCACAACGCAAGTACAGTAAGCGATACACGACGATTTGAAAGTGCTTTTAGGCGTGATGAACCAATGGAAATTTCGATTTCTTGCAATATGTGGAAGATGAATAAAATGATAGAAAAAGTAGCCTGCGTTCAGTGAGGCTGTGCTAAAGTTACATTTTTTTTGTGGACGGACTTTGTAAGCAAATTCTATCGTTTCTGGCAATAATGTATAGCTTCAGAGATAACTGTTGCAGGTACGCAATAGTCAACAAGTATAACGACTTCCTCGGTTTACAGTCAACTCTATGAGCTTTGAGATAACGTGCTTATAATATAATATATTTGTGACCAGTTATGTGTGCTTTCTAAGCTCATATTGCTTATCATGAAGAAAAAAAATGTCCCTTAGCCTCCTTTATGTCTATTATACGTCTCTTTTGTGCTAGCGATTCCATGTTCAATCATCGTGAAAAGCAGAATCTGCATCCGTGATGTAGAACTGAATAGCATTTGTTTATCATATACCTTACACAACAGCTTCACGTTTCTCTGACAATTTGCTCCTCCAAATCAGACGCAAGATGACGCGATGTATTAACGAATTATATGATCAATTTAATTTGTCCGTCTAAGGCGGTGGGCGGCATCAGTTGGCATCTGGAGCTGCCGTACCTGAGTGTGGGATCAGACCGACGTCTGCTGCTCTGGAGGGTTGACAAGATCTCCTAATCGCCAGTGAATCGAAGCCTTGGGGTTATATCAACCTCCAATTATTGCTCAAGTGATCTCATCAAGGTTACTTGCACAATTTTTAACAAAGATACAAAAAATCGTGGCATGTAGCACCTTCATGTGAAGCAGGTCATCTTCAGAATTAGGGCTAATTGTTCACAGAGAAAACCTCACGTGTCTTTGTAGAATGATGATTATATGTGCCAACTTGTTCAAAAATACATGCTTAATTTCTTTACTGACAATTTCTGTTAACTTTTCTTGCTTTATTTCAAGTAAAACTTATTCCGATCGTCAAAATACGAGTACGTCGATTCAATAATAATACTTAAGAACTTCATCCCCGTGGAGTGGGATTGGCCGCGTTCGGGTAAAGAAAAGAAGTTTCGGTAGGGCACAGTTTTATCGATTCTCAAGTGCAACTGTGAGCACCTACGTACAGTATAAACATTTCTATTTCACATTTACTTCTCGGTTCACCAGTGACAGTACTATAGAGTACTTTATGTACAAGGCTAAATTACACGAGCATAATATACGTAAGTTTGATTTCGTCGACTGCAGGAAGCAGAAACATCTTAATTCTGGCGACTTAATCTAACTTGCACACCATGAGTCACTGAATTTTCTTTTTCTGCTTGAAAGAATTGGATGGGTGAAAGGTTGTTGTGCACAGCATTTGTATCATCACTGGTACAGACCTTGCACCTGGAATGTTGACTAACGGTAAGTGCTTGACCGTTTTGGCAAACAGGATTCTTGCTGCGTTCTACGTATCAGATGCAGCTGGGTTGAATATCCTACTATCAATAATTGGACTATAATAGAGAAAAGATAATGTGCTGGCCATAAGCACTTGATCATGAGGCTGGTCGAGTCTACCATACAGGCACCTCAATTGGGGGACCGCGTATCTTACACTAACCACGTTGATACTGAAATGGTAAGCTCGCTCTGGAAAGCAGAGTTGCGTGCTTACGCTGCGGCACAACCTAATTACAAAACCACGCAAGCAAGCAAATGTAATTACTTAGATGACAGCTCTAAGGTCGGAATAAATAATATTAAAAAACCTCGCCACAACTAGCATTCTCTCGAGCTGGTAATGGAACAAAAGAAAAATCTAAACAAGGTCTGACCTTCTTAAATCGATTGCAATAAAGTATACGACTATACATAACATCTTTGAAGCAAAACTTACAATACATATATTTTCACGAAAAAAACATTAATTTACACAGAACGAGATATCTTTACTCGCTAGATACATTGAAACTCAGCCATACAATTAGCTTCTAAAATGATTGCAATGTCACTTTACAATAAGGAAATGTATAACTAATACTGAGAAAACGCTATCTAAAACAAACTAAGGGAAGTTAACTGACAACCTAAAAAGACGTTTTCCAGCACTTATAGGGTTCAAGTGTCAATAATTCAATAAATAGCTCCCACTAAAAAAGGTTTAAAAGAACTTTTGAAAATTACCCCTTGTTATTTGACATCGAAATGATTCAAATAACCAAAAGCGATGAGTTAATCAACATGCAACCGTCATAATGATTTCCGTCCGCGACTGCGTAACATTCAGCCTCCCAAATTGACTTAAGCGAATGCTAGCTAAATTCGAGGAAATACTAATTTCACGATAACGACCTTTACTGTCTTTACCTTGCGTAACAATGAACGAGCTACGTAACATTTCGTTGCAATTTAGAGCCTGCTGCGAAGAATGCAATATTCCGCTTCCTATAGTAGACATTATGTTGTTGCACGGCTAGAAAAATCAATAAAGAATGTTGAAAGAAGAATAGCGTGAGTAGCTTCAGCTTAATCAACCAGGCCACAGGTGACTCAACGTTCATTGCTATATTTCCCTTCATGAGAAAACATTAAATCAAATTATAGTCCCCCTAGAAATAATGGAGATACGAGAGTGACGTAATGAATAATTCTTAACCAGAAGATAAATGGAAAGCAACGTGAAGCATAGGATGACCCGGCGCCATGCACTGACAAATGAACGTAGCTAACGGCAAGCAATTAACATCATCAGTTTAGTTTTAATCATTCGGCTGCAGCCTCACCCGATGGCTTGTAAACTGCAAGGCCATATTTTTCTATTCACTTCAAAACTTCGTCGATATAAATAATGCGACGTGATGGCATAGCGAGGCTTGTATGACAAGCTTCCTTAGCAATCATAAACATCCATTGTCATTGCATTTGATTGGTTTAGATAGTATAGAGACTTGCTTTGGAATGGATAAAAGATATAAACACAAAATCAATTTAAATAAGCTTAAGGATTACAGTATATACTGGCTATGTAACTTTCTAACCTCAAACACGGCGGGAATTCAAGCAATGGACTTCCAAGTAAAAAATAAAGCACACAGCACGAAAAAGGAAAGTGCGAGCACAAAACAGATCTTAATGCGTCATTAATAAACAAAAAGGCAACAGATTTGCGGTTTTCTCAGGAGAATCAGGTTCTGTTTTTTACAATCTTTGAATATTCGATAAAATTCTTATACGGCTTCGAGACACACGAGATACGGAATTTCAATGAGACACCAGAATTAATTTGATTTCATTCATTGGAATTGCTCTAAAACCGAATTATTTTAGCAAGAACGACTTAATTACAAAAACAAATTTTTCAAAGCATAGACTATGAATAAAAATTTATTATTAATATAAATAAAATAGAATTCTTACGATTCTTTCATTCCTTACAGAGAAACAAATTCTGACAAAATAATAATATTACTTATTATTGATCCACAGATGAAATCAACAGGCAACAGCGAGCGTCGACATCAACATGAACCTGTCAGAGTTAAGCAGACGCGATTGTTAGGCCAGCGAGGGCGGCGGAGTATAGTAGCTCTGGGGCCATACTTTCAAAACTCGCTAAGTGAACGTAAGTACTTACGCTCTATTTTCTTGTCTATGATTGGTGGATTTTGCTTGGAAGGCCGTCAATGACTGGCTGATGAACTTACGATCTCTTAACTTTTTTTTAAAGTATAGGCCCTGGTGAGTGTGAAGCTGGTGAGCATCACTGAAAGGCGTATTTCCACCCTGATCATATTCCCATCATATTCAGCAATATTTACAGCCTTGACATATGTTCGTATGCAACTAATTGTACACCAATTCTGACTAGGTTAAGATTATATACCTTCTCGTGAAAGCGAAGCATGGGTACCGCCTTGTCGCGCACTACGGAAGACCAAACAAATTTTAGCCATTCAGACATTGCTAGTAATCAGAGATTCCAAATTTATTTTGGCAGGAGAACCTAACTGAGCCCTAACTGTGGCAGAGGTTGGGTAGAGACGAAACAGACAGCAGATAGCTAACTGGAATGCCATTAAAAAGATAATCAATGTCTTAATTGAGTACATGATGGACTGAACGTAAAAAACGGAATGTCCATCACAGCAACTATGAAAACTTAAGATTATGTTCAAATCTTAACCATTGGCAACAATATATCAACCAAGAAAGGCTGATTTTGCTGAATAAACTTTTGGTTTCAAATGGAATTTCAATGGCATTAAATTCGCTGATCACTTACACCATAAGAATCAGGTAACAAGAAGCATGCCATCATCATAAAGCTGAACCGAAATACAATTACGAGAAACACTGCCTTTCAGCTTCTTAAATCACACCCTCTGTTGGTTGCAACGAATATGAGCGGTGATGAGCGATCCTAGGCAGCCGGCGCGCGCATGTTAAGGCAAGTCGACAGCGACAAGGTTGTTCTAAAATAAAAACAAAACTGCAAGTAACATTCGCATTGCGTACACATTACAATCATCACCTGTACGGAGGAGGTGGCATGTCAAGTGTACCTGTACTCTAGCGATGATATTAGTGCCATGTGATGCACAATACACCTTCCGGGAGAACACGGCGATGTCTCCCAAACAATGCACAGTAAATAAATCTTAACATGTAGCTCCTAAATATAACGACGCATTACATATAAAATATTGGTAGTTCACGGGCCCACATTTTACCACTCAAATCTCGTTACTTGCAAGAAGAGGGAAAACAATAACAGAAGCAACAAGACAACAACAATCATATTCGACGCGTAATCGAGTCCCATCTGGCAGTATTAAATTAAATAATTTCAGGTCTCTACACCGTATTAACATATTTACACAATGTTCAATGTCTACGAAAATAAATCACTCCAAAAATTCACTCTGTATAAAAATTCATGGAATATAAGTAGGGGACTGCAAGCGAAATGATTGGCGCGTGGACGCGCATCGGAGCCGCGGGTTACCAAAAGCAAAGTCAGTGCGCACTGAGAACCCTGCGCGATCTTTGCGCCTACCAGCAAGACGCAAAAACCCTGCGCCGCCTTAGCGCTTATTGGCAAGACGCGCCCTGAGAACTCTGCTCTGCCCTTGCGCCGGTGGCAAGACAAGCACTAAGAACCCTGCGCCGCCCTAGCGTCCACCTTAAGACGCGCACTGAGAACCCAGTATCGCGGAGTCGGTTTATGGGATGGCTGATACAGACAAAATCAAGGAAAATGCTTCTAAAACAAAAGCTTAATTTTTAACGGGGGGCTCTCACATATGGCAATACTGTAGGCAAAAGGAAGATATTAGAATGGAAGTATAAATTTACAATATAAATAAAATACTTAAAAAAAAACTTTTTAAAAAAACACGTTTTTCTTGTGGACTAAAAAGTAGAAAATAAATTATGGTTCGCCCCAAAAAAACGTGTGTCGGGCAGATTTATGATTAAAGCGAAAAGCACACAACACTTAAATTTTGGAAATTTGATGGTGAACGTACAACCCGACCCACGTTTTTTTGGGGCGAACCATAATTTATTTTCTACTTTTTAGTCCACAAGAAAAACGTGTTTTTTTAAAAAGTTTTTTTTTAAGTATTTTATTTTCTATTTTTTAGTCCACAAGAAAAACGATTAAGACTTGATTAAGTATGACGACGTACGTATCGATGATACGCAGCGTTAGCGCCTGCTCGTCTATAACGTGAGCGCCCGCACGTCATACTATATATATACTATATATATACTTTACTCAATTAAATTAATTTAGGTCTCTAATTACTAGTTTTTATGATTGTATCTGAAATTGTTAGGCGAAAGTAGCCTGCATGCCGAATTTCAGATCTCTAGAACAATCAGAAGTGGGCTAATTTTCGTTGTCAATGTTAACAACAAACAACTAAACAAACAAACAAACAAACAAACAAACGCGAAGCTAAGCTAAGAAAAACGTGTTAATAAAAAGTGCATTCGCACTATCTTGCATGCCCTCTAAGATATTGAAGGAAATGAGCCCTCATTTCCGTGTGCGTCTTGCCAGTAGGGGCAAGAGCAGCGCAGGGTTCTCAGGGCGCGTCCTGCAGAATCCAAGTCAACAAGCCGTTGTCTGGACTGAATTAGTTTTGATTTCTAACCATCGTTTCAACAATGCAAGACAACTCACTTACTTCAGTAATGATATAATCTTACACGTGACTGATGCGTAGCCTCAGACTTAACGAATGTACAACTCATAAGCACAAAGAAGTGCAGGAATGATTAGCTATCGAGAACAAAAAAGAGAACAAAACTACACGTCAGTTTTAGTCAGTGATGCCACAGGACTTTGTCTAAGATGCGAGGGCAGATTCTTCTCGTCCACAAACTCGACGTAATTCTCCGGCACGAGTCCCGTGCGGCCATCCAAGCTTCCTTCCAGCCAACCGGGCTCTCGTGAAGAGTGCACTGTAAAATTTACGAACAATTGTTCACATTAGAAATAAAAACACATTTTTATGTATGACGATTTAACACATTCAAAAAAATGATAACAAAGATTTTGAATTTTTCTCCAATTCAATTTTCCGTCACAAGCCTCATAAATTAGAAAGAAGTCTGTAAAAAACTATACCTAAAAATGACTGTAGTTTTCTGTACTTCTCCAGTTTATGAACGAAGTATATCACTAGTAATAATTTCAAATAAACAATAGGAACAAGATACGGGTGTGCGTAGAAACATCGAGTCAAGTTGAAAGCGAGCAGCAAGAAATAGCCACTGACCATTGGTGAGGTAGACGTTGGCATCGAAGGAAAGTTCAGAATCATTTTCCCCGACGCACGCGTACAGCGTCCGCACCACCCTGCAACAGCACAGATGTCAGCCTAAGAAGTGATGACTCAAGTGAAGACTCAATTGTTTCTTATAAAGACACGCAGACTTTGACGGAAATTGCGCGCAAATATAACAAACTCAATTCCATTAACAACATTATACATAGCTATATGATAAGGTATTTTGTAGGACATTAGTTCAATTCTTGTTTGCAAAATCAGGCATCAGTCTGCGATTCTGCGTCCGTAATTTGGAATAAGATTTTCAGCCCGAAGTGATCTATGGAGCATTTTTCCGGCATGCAACTCTTTCTTTGAGCACACTTTTATTTCCCCAAGCATAATTACGCAATTCGTGAGGGTTCTTAAAGCTTTATGCAGAGTCACTTTGTCCTAGAGTTGGATAAAGTTCTCAGATAAGCGTGAAATTAAGTCATTTGTATTGCAGGAATGGCAACTTTGTATCTCCCAAAGAAATAAAGTAACGAATGAATTGGCAACAATATGACTCGATAGCATCTTTGTCTTGCGTGATCATTATTGTTATACGTTGTCGTACGAACAGCTTCTCATTCTAATTTATCGACATCGTTAAAATGCCTCAAGAAAACAAGTATCTAGATTCCATAGGGTTATCAACTCATTATATTTTTGTTGAAATATGTGTATAAAATTTCTGTAGTAAATATTATTTTGATATTTCATTAGAGGAGAAACAATGACAAAATATGAATAGGCAATTTTAGGCAGGGTACCTGCTGAGCGCTGGAGACGTGCCATTGGTCGCCTTGGCAACGGTCGAGGAAGCGACATGGTTGTTGTTGTTGTTGTTCATGGCCGCAGGAAGAGAGGACAGTAAACTCTGGGACGCCAGGCCGCCTCCTGCACTCAGCGAGTTCCTGGCAGAAGATCAGATGCTTAGCATTGCCGGCGACCGCTTCAAATTACCATGAATTTCAACACTTAGCCGTAAGGTTCTATTGCGACTATGAAATGCTGCCGAGCAAAGTGTTATTAGTTAACTACCGTTATAGTTTCATCAAGTTGCGCTAATCTAAGAGCAGCGGGTGTTTTCTGTTGGAAGTTCTAGACGTGAGAAGGTTTAAAGGAAGCGCGCGAAGGAACTAGGATCAGTTGTAGGAGGAGAGATGCCAGGCAGTCAGAGTTCTAAGAGGAACACGCAACATAAACTAATGGTGAACGATGAACTTAAATAACTAATTAAAAAAACAAATAGCATGACAGCCATAAATGCTCATAAATAACTATAGTAATTCAAAGAATAATAACAATGGTGAATTGGATCAGTAAATGAAGATATCATAAATGATAGCAGCAACGACGTTAGAAGTTATTCTCTCATGTCACTAAACTAAAGCCATGCCGGCCAACGCATGCGCCTACAGTACAAACCCTCATTGTCTAAGCGCAGAGTTTCGCACTTTCTAAATAATCAATAAAAAAGGAATCAACGACATCGTGGGCACATTTACTCCTCAACCGGATACTTGATAGAGACTTTCCAACCGGAATATATATCTGGTTTCAATTCGAGAGAATTTTCACCACTGTGTTACTGAGAGTCATTAAATACTTCGTCAGAGGTCGCTACTATTTCTGGCCGTTCGGTCAGAGAGGCCGGCTCGTCTCTTGCCTCGTTCTCATGCAGCACCGCATGATCCTCATCTGAATAACTACTACCAGAGGCACACGAGTAGAGTTGTGCTGTTGTAATCGCGAGGCTTGGTCGCAATTTCACAATAACTTTATACCTCCATATGAATGGGATTGTTTTAGGCCCGGTTCGATAGCTAACACAAAGCAATATTCAGTAAAATTATAGTGATTTAAGTTAGAGAACAGGTCAAACATAATGGTGGATTTAAGGGGAAAAAAAACGTCCCTACATCAGCATAATGATTCGACCGTCACCCAAGACGGTGAGGGTCGAGTTATTATCAGCCTGTGACGGAGCCGGTCCCCTGCCACCTCATCATTGGTGACATTTCATCCTTTATCAATTTAACCTAATCTGCCCTAACCTGTAAAAATGTACTTTATGCCATGAAGAAATATTATGGCGAACGGCTATAACAATAAAAATGTCCCAATGATGAAGCTCTAATGATGAAATGTCCCAATGATCAATTGTTATAATGATGAAATGTCCCAACGATCAATTGTTATAATGATGAAATGTCCCAACGATCAATTGTTATAATGATGAAATGTCCCAACGATGAATTGATAGTTGTCCCAATGATAGTCTCGTATGTTGAGGTGTCCAGCCACCGACGGAGCATTAGTGGGATTTGAAGTTCGGCCAGGCGATGTCCGTCATTTATCAGGGACCGCTCGCCCAACATATTTATAATTGTGACAAATTCTAATCCAAGTCGAAAAAAGAAATAAATTTAGAAAGGAATGCAACGATACAAGCTTCAAAAAATAAAGCTTGCCTAATTAGTTCCATTAACTCACATGGATGAGTATAGTTGTTCCAACGATTGCCTTTTGCAGAGCCTTTAAAAGCAGCAAGAAAAGGCACAGAAACCATGAATGGTGAGTTTAAATCAGCAAGATTAAGAACAAATGATGGTATCTTTACAATGAATGGATGATAAAATATGTATGCACACTTGATAAATTCTAGTGAATCGTTTATTTTTGAACACAACCGCTGTAGAGAATGTGATGAATGGACGCATAGTATAGCATGAGACAATACAATCGAGAAGCTGGTGTCAGATGGAAATAAAGATGGCAGGAGGGATGATGGTTCATAATAAGGATGGTAGGAGGGATGGTTCATAATAAGGATGGTAGGATGGATGGTTCATAATAAGGATATGGCAGGATATTTGTTAGCAGGACTGAACAAAAGGGGAAATAGGAAGAGCAAGTGCGAGGACCTACAAGTGTTTCATCAAATACTGGATTACATATCAACATTAAACGTACATCAATTACTTTAGCAGCGTTCTTACATTATCATCAAAATTACATTATTACATTATCATTTACCGAATCCAACTTGAAACATGCAACATGAGAGCCCACGTTTAGTCTAAAGCGAGCGAGGCGGTTTGACCCTAATTGAGTTATCAAAGACTGAATAAATTTCCCAGCGGAACTATTAAATTCTCGGTATGAACAATTGGCACGCAGTAGTAGCAATGATGTTACTCACGTCTCCATGTGCTGGCGGAAGGTTGGAGGATACGCCGTCCCGAGACGCGGTCCTGCAACATGGCGTGCATTCGTTAGGCCAAAACTAATACACAAAATAGGTAACTATTTAATGTACAAAATCAGCAACTAAACAATGCACAAAATAAGTAACTAAGTAATAAACCTGAACAAGTTTGTCTTCAACAGTCAGCCAAATGCTGAAGAATCCGAGGTGAAGTGCGCAGGAAAGTAGATGATATGAAGATTTTATCATTTAATAGATTAAATCCATTTAACATCAGGTAGTGAAACCTTATCATATTGTGCCAGCACAGATAAAAGAAAAAGAATTAATACAGAGTTTTTCCAGAACATCATTTCTAACGAACTATATTTCCTACAAATCGCATCTCACGTGGCAGCGGTGGAGACGAGCCGCCACCCCCGCCCAACTGCTGAGCTTTGGGTTGTTGGTAGAGAGGAGGACCTTTCTGCTGGGGGTGATGATGGTGATGTAGGTGTGGTGCAGGAGGAGGAGGGTGGTGAGAAGGATGGTGATGGTGGAGGGAGGTGCTGGTTGTTTGTTCTCTGGAGGAGCGCGAGCACAGCGACTCGCTTGAACTACTCGTGCTCACCGCACCATCGTTGCGGTCACCTCCTGGGCGGACGGCAGGCAAATCAATCAGTATTTTGCGCACCATCAAAGGAAATACATAATTTTTTTATATTTATTTGCTGTTGTTAAATAAAATTAAAAATAATTGAATCTAACATCATCTTTTATACTCAATGCTTCAAGAGACTAGAATATCGATAGCACTTGCATGAAAGTATCGCGATGAATCCTCTCATTATAAATGTCAATTGATTGCTTCAGGAGATCATGTTAGGTATGTAAGGGAGAGTAAATAGCAATATGACACACAAGCCACTTTTTGTTGGCGTGAATTGCGTTGCAGGAGAAACGTGCGCAGCAGCGAAGCGCTCTAAGGGCATCGCAGCCCGGAAAGCCTCTTTAAGTGAATGATATTCACGATAATCGAAATAATAGTTTAGATTAACTATTTATAGGCTTATTGAGAAATGCCGTAACAAAATAAAAACATAAATCAGGCAACCGAGACAGTTGTTACTAAATTTTTAGGATTGCTTCTGACAGAGGCTAGCAAACAGGAGCAAAAGTTGCAGGAAATTCAGCAGGCCTCCGCCATGACAGCGAAAAGCGTCCACGAAGAAATCAACATAATCATTCCGTCAGTATTATTATAAAATAAACTAATTGGCCAGTCAGTCTACTCTGAAATTTAATTCGTTTAATTGTTATGCAATTAAAATTGATTTAATCTTTACAGAATTCATAATAAACTAATGAATGTGGCACTGCTCGGGATTAACAGTCCAAGAGCAGTGTAGAGCCTCTGCACTCAATATGCGAGGCCATAAGCGAGACCAGGGCACGGTGAATGCCAACATTGAACTAAAATGTACGAATCAAAGTTTCAAATGTTAAATCGTCGCAATATACCGATTGTACAAGTATTGTGGATGTGGATATGCGATTAGAAAACCCTTGTATTATTTTAAAGTTGCAGAAGGAATCTTAATAGAAAGAGGTTTTCCAGCGCTTCCGAAACATTGTTTATCATCAAGCCTCATCGGTGGCCTCAGTCGCGCAGCCTGACCCATTTCGGCGCAGGTGTTCAGTGTCTCTGTTGGCTTTTGTTTGCATTGAGTGGCGTCCACATTTCCTTTATTCGTCCGATACGATGAGCATAAGTCCGCGTCTTTGCCCCGTCAGACACACGTGGTATTGACAGGATTACGGCGATGAGATGAAGCCTTAGTTCTCCCGAGCCCATAAAATTGAGCCTTCGAATGACGTTGCAAGATGGCGCCAGTTGACCTGCGCAGTGTTTTTAACAGCTCTTCATCTACCGTCGGCTGGCCACCTCCATCTTCATAGCAGTCCGTCACAGGAGGTTCATTACATGTCAATAAGATTCGCCGTACAAGAAGCGTTGCCTTGTCACTTCGCCTTTTTCTCCACTCGGCCATGGATAAGGACACTTTAAAGAGTGCTACCATTTAACAAGACACCCATTCAACAATGAACGCCCAATTTACAATGAACGTCGCTTGACAATGACAACCCATTTTGAATAAACCGCCTACTCAATAATAAAAACCAAGTTACCAAATGAACGCCTATTTAACAATGAACGCCTATTTAACAATGAACGCCTATTCAACAATGAACGACTTATTAACAGTTTGAGTCAAAGGAAAGAACTTGTACGTAAGAGGTGGGCCCGCTAGGGCGGCACGAATGAAGCCTTTACGCTGGCAAAATTATGATATGAGTGATAAAAAGACAAATGAAGATTGTCAGTGATAGTCTTGTGTCAAGAATGTGATGGTGTTCAGAGCAGAACGTGGTTGCGAGACTTTATAAGTTACGTCGTTGCTAGCGTCTCCATCTGTCGTGCCCGAGGCATGTAAAACTCTTCGGTATTAGCGAAGCGGTGCAGTGCAATTGGTCGTACGGCTACGACATTCAGTGAGCAGCGTAAGTGTCGTAGGACGTAGTTATTGGGTATTCAGTAAGCGGCGTCAATTGCGAATTTTTAAGTATACGTGCAAAAAATTGTTGGTGCAATTTATCGTCTCATAAGGCAGTAGAAATTAAACTTTTATGAAAGATCTTGCTATGCAGCGCAAATAAAAAAATGCCAAGCAATGCAGACGCTAAGATGCAAATAAAAAATTTAGAGAGCAGTGCAATTGAATTTGGTGTTGACAAAAGTGAATGAAATTCGAGGCAGCGCAGTCAAGGCAGCGCACGCGAAGCAGCTGAGCTGACGTGCGGAAGGAAGCAGCAATGCAGCCAAACGCAGGTAACTTCTATGGACGTAATGACGGAGCTGTCTAGAGTTAAGGCAAGGCGTCCGCAGAACAAGCAAGTATATCTTCTCATCGCTAATTATTGTTATTTTTATATCAACACCATGCCGTTCATTTGGAACATTACTTATTAGAAGTATTGGCATGAGTTTTGTTTGTATTTTTTATGTACAAATATGAACAATAAGGAAAGTTCAAATTTGCAGATTAATTAGCATATCGAATATTTTGATCAATTCACTGTAATTCCGGTGGAATAAATTAAATGGCAACTACATTGCTGCACGACAAGGACCCAAAACAAATATTATTTAAATGCAGCAAGAAGAGAGAAGGCAAACTGTTGCAACAAATCTGAATGCCGGACGCCTTGCCGGAACTAGAGAGCAGAGTGGGCAGGGTGGGCTTGTCACGCACCAATGAGGGGATTTATCATAGAAAACGGAGCGCCTGCCATGGTGGCGATGGCGGCGGCCACGTTACAGCGCACAGACGGCGAGCAAACGTCGCCTGCTGGCGCGGGGACGTCTTGGAGCAGCGCGGCCCGTGCGACGTGCCGCGGCGACGAGGCCGTGGCAGGGGCACTTGGGAGCTCGAGCTCTGCGCCAGCGAGATTTATTGTGTTGGTGGCAGCATTGAGTGCTGTGGCGGCGGTGGCAGCAGTAATTGTGGCGGCGGTGGCAGCATTTGTTGTGGCAGTGGTGGCAGCATTACTTGTAGTAGCGGCGTTGGAGGAGGAAGCATGAGGGCGGTAAGTGCGATGATGGCGAGGCGCAGAACTGCTGTCGTATCCTCCACTGGACAGGTCCCGCAGCTGTCCGGGTTGACTCGACACGGAGTGACCACCTCCACCTGCTGCTCACATTTGAGACAAGTTAGCTACTATTTAATTAAGACATAGAATACACAGTACGATTTTGCACAGTATGATAACTAAACGTATTAGTTGAACAAGACGAAGAACACATAGTATGACTCTAAACATCTAACCATTGCATCAATGAAAGACTGCGAAATTTTCCTTGGCATTAGAAAATAAATTTGTATACAAATGGACGGCGATAGAGCGGCTCACCAGAATTTAGGCTCGTATTCGAGGCGCTGTGGCTCCACGGAGGCATCGATAAATTCGAATAAACTTGGGAATATTGCTGCGGCTGCTGCTGCAAAGATACAACAAAAGTAAACTTAATACAACTAAAATCATATACACCTTAGCGAAGTAACAATTTTAGTTGCCTTGAAAGATGAATAATAAGATTTGACATCAGCTTACTGCGCCTCTAGGAACAAGTTCTCTTAATAGAGAGGAAATTCAAGCATAATGAACAATTTAGAATTTTAGCAAGATTAAAACCCTATTGCCTTTAAGAATTTAGTTCGGTACGAATATGTGTTGGTGATTTAGCTCAAATTGTGAAGAGAGATATATCTATATGCGATGAGTGAGAGGAAACTACAAGAGGCTGCCAAGCGATGATGCAAGAAAATGAGTTGACGCTAAATAATGGTACTAATGGATCAAATGGACAGTGGCGTCGTGAGGTGAGTGTACCGAATGGCCTTACATAAATTGTATGCTTCATGTTTTGAATTGTAATCACATTTGCACTCAACTGTCGTGAATAACTGATTTGTGGTTAGTGAAAAGGTGAATCTTGAGAGAACCTTTTCCGAAAGTGATTTGAGAAACGCATTCTGGTTCGAAAATTTAATTATAACCTAAGATTTATTGGATGTATACCTAATGGTGTTAGGAACAATGACAGATGGTACATGTTAACGCGAGATCGATCTCACCTTCAGGTTGGAGCTGCCTTCAGAACGCAGCAGAGCAGCTGAGGGAGAAGGAGAGGCGGTCGCTGCACCACCGAAGTGCACGCTCTGAGGCTCGCTCGTGTTGAATGAAGGGAGCTCTTAGGAGAGGTGGAGTGGCTGCGGGAGTCGTGCAGGCGCGAGGTCTCCCACGACGCGACTTCGTTGCCAGTCCCGCCGCCGAAAATCTGAGTGGATAACTCGGGTTAGGCCGACAACGCACGATGCATTCGCAAGTTTAAAGAAGAGATCAGCAGCGGGAAAAACAGAATAACACGAATACAAACTAATTATTTGGGAGTAATGAGTTAGTACAGGGGAAGACTAAAAACTTCTGCCTCGCACAGATCAATGAGGTACACAGTGTCTTGCACTGTAAAGTAATTTTAGAAACGATCTTTCTTCATGCGTAAACTTGAATACAATATAGAGTAAAACAAGAGGATTTCAGTGTGAGAGAATGCATCACCTTATCGTAATGTTCGATAAGAATCTCGACGACGATGTTGCAGAACTTGATGTCCATGATGGCGGCGACGGTCTCCTCCTCAGGCCGCAGCAGCGTCGGCCCGAAGCACACGCCCAGGTTGCTCACCGTCATCAGGTTCTTGTCGCTCTTGCGCGCCACTCTGCACGAAGGCACGAGTGCAGGGTTACATAGTCATAATATATAGCTATGGTACGGCTTGAAACATTAATTCTTTTACGGGACAGATGCTCAAAAAATAAAAGGTCTAGAAAAATATAAAGTCTAGAATAAAGTTGAAGCATCCATGGCTTCAGCAACAGGCATTGAATGAGTTTTTGTGTTCACTGAGTTAGTGTAATCCGATAAGTACCGCATTAAACAAGAAACTATCACTAACCTATTAGAAAATGTTTCAGGAAGTGAGATGCCAGAGCCTTGTAGTTTTACCAATACAAAATTCAAACAAGTTGCAAAGAGTGAATATAAATAGAATAGAAATATAATATGCATGGACTCACTGGCAGAGATGATGGAGGAGTTTCTCTAGAACAACTCTGTTGTCATTAGGCAGTCTCTGTACGAGCTCTTGTATGGCTGCCACCCGAGACGCCAGACGCACAGTCTCTGTAAAGGCCATAATAAATGTCGGACTTCTTGGGTTTGCTAATAACCAATTTAATCGTAAAATTCACACAAGACTGTCTTATCGCATTATTAAAATTTGTCATTATGCATTTCTTTTTTCATTTATTTAGCAATATCTCTGCCACATTCGATCTTTCCATAACTTCATAACAGATGGTGTAGTATAATGAAAAATAAAGAAGACATACGCCTACTAAATAAAGATGGCGTTTGTTAAGTAGGAGTTATAACTAGGAGTAGGAAAATTTACAATTCATTCCCTGGTAATGAAGACTACAAAAGAAATTCAATGAGCTGAGTTGAAGTGAGCTCTTACTTGCGGCCGTAATAAAATCGTTGTGGAGTGCGTAGGTCATGAGAGGTTCAGGAAGGTTACGGAAATATTGTTTGACAGCAGACGTGATGGTTTTAGTCTCCCACTCGGCAGGGTCGTCGAGACAGAGCTTGGTGCACCGCTGAGGGTCCAGCCCTTGAGCCAGCAGCTTGGAGACCTTGCTGGAGACGCCGACGAGGCGGTAGAGGCCGTGGTCCTCCAGTCCTGAGGAGTGGAATGTAAGTGAATCATACATGCGCATGGCAACCTTTCCCTGCGCATGGCAACCGTACATGCGCACGTCAACCATACATACGCATGACAACCATACATGCGCATGGCAACCATACATACGCATGGCAACCATACATGCGCATGGCAACCATGAATGAGCCTTGAGACTTCCCACTACTGTTGTCAACGACTATCTTAAATTGATGAATTTTCTGTAGGATCTGAACCAAATCTACAGAATGAATTTTGAGGCGTTGAGGGGGTCCAGAATTCAACAAATTAGAAAGTGAAATTACTTCAACTGATAGTTCGTTCATATCTGCGAGCTTTGAACTAAACATTGTCCATTTAACTTCAAAATATCATTGCTAAATATTAAGAAATGAACGAAATCAAATGAAGTTCACAGCAGGTTTGATCATAAGGCAAGGTCACATCAGTGGACAATGCTGCAAGTCGGTAAAAATTTGGTTTGGAAACACGGCCAAGTAAATTCAAATAGAGTGCTAAATCAAGCAAATATAATGTATTTTTAAATATGAATGCTGCAGAGAACGAGTTGTGCTGAAACAATTCAGTAGTTGACAGGAGCGCACCTCTGGCCTCAAGCGCTGCGATGGCGCGGCTGATGAACGCCAAGCCGTACGCGTCGAGCTCGGTCTGATCCTGTCCTACGCGCGGCTGTGCGTACAGCGGGGATGAGACCTGCACAGCAAGGGGCGTTAGTATCTGCTGCACAGCATGGGGCGTTAGGGTCTGCTGCACAGCATGGGGCGTTAGTGTCTGCTGCACAGCATGGGGAACTAAACCAAATCTATAGAATGAATTTTGGGGCGTTGAGGTGGTGCAGAATTAAACAAATTAGAGAGTGAAGCTACTACCAGTGATAGTTCGTTGATTTGTATCGGAAACTAATTCAGTCAATAAGATGGCGTTGAACTAAACATTATCCACTTAACTTGAATATATCATTACTAAATATTAAGAAATGAACGAAATCAAATGAAGTTCCCAGCAGGTTTGATCATAAGGCAAGGTCACATCAGTGGACGATCTTGCGAGTCGGTAAAAATTCGGTATGCACAGTATCGGTATAAGGCATCGTATGCACAGTATCGGTATTTCGGTATAAATTGGTAAATGCACAGTAAATTCCAATAAAGTGCTACAGCGAGCAAATATAAAGTATTTTTAAATAGGAAAGCTTCAGAAATAGTTTTGCTTCAGAAAAGCATTTTTTCAGGAAAGCTTCAGAAAGCAAATCAGTAGTAGACGGGAGCGCACCTCTGGCCTCGAGCGCGGCGATGGCGCGGCTGATGAACGCCAAGCCGTACGCGTCGAGCTCGGTCTGATCCTGCCCTACGCGGGGCTGTGCGTACAGCGGTGATGAGACCTGCACAGCATGGGGCGTTAGGGTCTGCTGCACAACATGGGGCGTTAGGGTCTGTGGCGACGAGGCCTGCACAGCCCAATGCCCAAAGGCCTCGACTAAAAAACGTTGCTGAGTACAGAGTAGTGCTGCGTCAACGCGTCGGAATTAAGTCATTAATTTCCAGTGTATATCTTAAGGTTCGAAGGCAACCATGACTACAAAACAATTAGTCTGAATCTAAGTATTTATGACAGGAATATACAGTGATGAATAACTGAAAAAAGAGTAACAACAATATTGAGTGACTTCTCAATGAAAGTAATTACAACTTAAGCCTATATTACTGCGAGTTGTACAGAGTTAAGTAGCAAGACACTGACAGGTTCCTTGCCGTCCATAGCGTCCATCCAGAGCTTGAGGTCCTCCTCACAGAGCGCCTGCAGCGTGTACACGACGCCGAGCTTCTCGCGGTCCTGCGCTGTGAGGTCGAAGCAGAAGCGCTTGTCTATGCTCTCAGACATGCGCCGCACGCACGACTTCAGCATCAGCGTCTCCGTAGACGTCTTTAATGAGAACAACGACATTAGCAATAGCATGGGGGTCTTTAATGTGTGCAGCGACATTAACAACAGCACGACGTCTTTAATGAGAACAGTCCCATTAACAACACGGCGTCTTTAATGAGAACAACCACATTAACAACACGGCGTCTTTAATGAGGACAGCCACATTAACCACAGCATGGCTCCTTTAACATGAACAACGACATTACCGGCATTATGTGGTCTTCATTTTACGGTCTATCACCCTCACTGTTCAAGCAGTGATATCGTCATGAAATATGACAGGTACATGCATATGGTTCCCAAACAAGTATGGGGAATTGCACTTTACTCTTGAAGCACCAAAACTGATTCAAGAGTGCATTTGTACTGCTACACATTACTGGTCACGTGAAGTAACCCATTATAGATAATGTAAAGACTGATCGTTGTTATACTCCAGCAGTGCAATGGTTCCGTGATTGCAATGCTCTACAAAAACGCTCCGCCCGAAAACTGAACTTTTCACAAACGCTCCCGAGACAAGAAGCTAACGTAGTGGATGAAAAAAGGTGAATGAAGGAAAAATAAGTGCAGGCACTTAATGGAATCTCTAAGAGAGAATAACATTTGTCGTCAAGTAATAAGGGCAGGCAGCATCCAGGAAAGAAGACCTCGCCGTAATGCTGAGCTGTAGGAGCCAACAGCGGCTAGTGCTCTATAGAGTTAAGAGCAACTGTGCTTTATAGCGTGGAGTGAGAGCTGTGCAATGTGCAGCAAGCGATTTCCAAAAGATAGGGCAGAAACAAATGTACAAAAGATAAACATCTACCTCTGATCAATAGAACTGGTATTTTTGCCGGTAGTGGCAAGTGGTTTAAGAATATCCTACCTGTGATAAGGGTCTAAACGACTTGATACAAGCGTAAGAAGTCCTGATCCAAGCGTAAAGAGTGCAAAAAATAAAAAAAATGAAGAAGTATTTTTGTGGCGGCGGCATTCTGTGATAAGGTTCTGACCAGAAAAAGTGTAGAAGCTTGACGCAGAGCAACACTAGAAATGCATGGCTACAGTGCGGAGGTGCACAGATCGGAGCAGTCGTGTAGGATCTTGCATGTTGTCATCTTCAAACACAAGTTTGAGGTAAGTTGCAGGATGCAATAAATGAAGGTAAGGAGAGAAACGAAAACGATGCAACGCACCTGACCAGGAGGGAGCAGGATGAAAAGAAGGAGTCCAGAAGGAGGATGAGATGGAGTCCAGAAGGAGGATGAGAAGGATGAAGGTGAGTCCACAGCCTAAGATTGTACGAGGGGAGTGGGATGAATGAGACCACAGCAACGGCTCAATGGCACGAGCAGCAGTTCGGGGAGTTAACTCACGATTTTCTGTTGTACTTGATTGTATGGAATCATTGTGAATATGCGACTCTTCTTCTGGTACTGGCAGTAATGCTTGGTCCACGTCGTGCCGAATGCCTCTGTGGAAGCAAGAAAACGCTCTAGTTTCTATTTGTTAACGATGTCAGATCACGAGAGAACTGTTCGTATTGTTACATCCGAGTCCGCATTGCCATAGTTTTAAATGGTCATGGATATCTTGAGCAGCTTCCTCATTAATTATTTCATACCCATGAACTGTTAGGAAGACAAACTTACTTTTCTCCATGAGAAAAAGATATCCTTGTCGTGTGTACATTTTGTCCATGCTTCCAGGATCGGAATTTTTCTGAAAAAAAAGTCGCATTAGAAGTTCGTCACGTGGCATAATACTTATTAATGAAGCAAATTAATAAGAGCGGCGATATGCTTTTAGTCAACGTCTACCAGTGAACAGTGATTAATCGTATGGATATTTGATTTAGCTATAAACACAAGAAGAACTGGCTCCTCAATGTGAAAGCAACACGCAACTCTGCTTCAATATTTCTCTTCATGTGACATGTTTTGTCTCACCTCGAGCATCTTGTTCTTGAGCTGCACGGCTTCCTGGCGCGTCGACATGAAATTCTCCCGTGTCTGCCGGTAGAAATGAATGATGTCAACTAAAACTGTTCGAAGAGATTAACAAAGAGATTAATCGATGATTGCGTTCAGCCAGAATTTGATAAGAAATCTCGCCTGCTTGGTGCTCAAACAAGTTGCTCATATAATCGTGCATGATATAAAATAAAATCGAACTGAGAACCTCACGCCGTTATCCTGCTACCAGTCACTGCGGCCTAACGCTTCGAATTTACAAATAATTAAGCAAGAAATCATTATTCTTATATAATTTAGGAGCAAAACATGTTTGAGTGAAGTTATAGTGATTAAATAGTACCATAGTTAAGATGTGAACATCATTGACAGTGTTGGCCGTTAGAAGATTGTTATAATGTTACAAAGAACACGCAAGTCTTGTTACAGAGAGCACGCATGTTACAGAGAGCACCATGTTACAGAGAGCACCGTGTTACAGAGAGCACGCTTGTTACAGAGAGCACGCTTGTTACATACAAGACGCTCTGAGCACTGACCCGCTGTAGGCGCACTTGCAGGTCCTTGAGGTAAGGGTTGCAGTCATTGAAAACTTCGTGTCCTTGATGGTAGAACGTCAGCCAGCTGTACATGTAACTTAACAACTGCACAGCAAAACAACGTACGGTCATTAGAAATTACGAGGACTGCATATTATCCAGAAGACACTAACACACATACTACTTAGTTAAATTTTTGTGTAAATTTCAAATCAAGAATTCGAACAATCTATTCTCAGTTATAAATGAAGAGGTGACCACTTTAAGCAATGCGAATTTAACACGGCTCTTTCCGCTTGTTCCATCTTTTGTTGAATTTTTGTCTAAATTTACATCTATTTCGACTTAAATGATAAGCAGAAATGACCGGTAAGTTTATCTCGGATTCAAATACTCACAGTTTCTACAAATTCGAATTTTTTCCGCTCCTGCACTTCCTGCAGCAAGAAGACGTACTCCAGGGACGCTTGAGCGAAGAACCGCTGCTCCATCTCCACGCTGGCGTCAGCCTGCACAAATGTGGGTCAAATTAACTCACTTAGAACAGCCAAACTAGATATACCGGAAAGACAATAAGAATGAATAAAATTCATTGAGATCAAACAGGCGCTCAGGGTTTGCTGGCCATGCATAATGTGCTATGCTGCGCGTGCACCAGACGAGGTCGGTCGTGTTCGGCATCTCGTATGGAGATCAATACCAATTTCCGATACGATTGCGTATAGGAAGTTCCAAGTTCCACCAGTAGCGCGTATATTATTTTTGATAAAAAGATTCGACAATAACGTTTGAAGAAGGTCTTTTCTTCGGTAAGAGGGTCGATTGCAATAAAGCTTGCATTGCCAGAAGAACCAAACAATTTCGAGCAATGAATGCGCAAGGGCCAAAACAAAGAAAGCATCTATGAATATTTTTGAAGGTAATACACTTGAAAGATTGAGGAGCACTTCGCAATATTAGGTCATTCGAATGATTTCCTACATTGAGCATGTCAGACGGTATGGAGAATAATAATTTTAGTCGATAATCTATCTTCAAAATGCGTACATGAATCGTATGTATGCGTGCGTGAACCGTACATGGTAAGCGTATAAGAAAACATAAAGCCTTCATATGAAAAGTTTGTTCCAGGAACTCGCATGCATTTTTTCTTAGTGAATGCGACACTTCAGTGAAGCAATAAGTGTTCTGGGAAGGCGAATTATTTTAACCAGATCGTTAACATCATTGAGATGTTGCAGCAAATGGCAATCCTTCGCTATAGCGTAGATGCACCAGGAAATTGCATCGTGCAGCGCGCGCGTCTTCGGTATTTTCGATGCCCCGGAAAAAGTATGAAGGACATCCATGCTTTCTATACAATATCCGCGACATCGACGAGGGAAGAGTATCGTGTGACGAAAGCAAGCTCATCAGTGAGACGTCGAACACGGGGAGAGGGAGATGGGGTGGTAGGGAGAGGGGATGGAGAGAGGGGAAAGAAGGGGAAGAGAGAGAAAGGGAGAGTGAGGGAAGCAGGAGAAGGCGGACGATCAATAGGCAGAGGCGGTCATCAGCTGCGGTGTAGGGCAGCAGCTCAGCAAGTATTTCCCCTCACACCCCTACTGCTGCTCAGCAGCCACTCCCCCTCACACCCCCTACTGCTGCTCAGCAGCCACTCCCCCTATACTGGGGAAGGCTGAAACACCTGGAACTGTACTCACTGGAGAGGAGAAGAGAAAGGTACCGTATATCATACTGTACACTTGGAAGATGATAACCGGACTGGCTCCTAACTTTGAGAGTGAAACCTCCAGAATAGTAACACGTTACAATGAAAGGAGAGGGAGACTGTGCGAGGTTTCCCCATTTAATAACCGAGAGCCGCGGCCAGAGTACAGATTCTCCGTGAGGGATCACTGTCCGTGGTAGGACCGAGGCTCTTTAATGCCTTGCCAAAAGCGCTGAGAGGAGGGGAGTTCACCCTTGCAATATTCAAGAAACAACTGGACAAGTGGTTGAGAAAGATCCCGGATTGTCCAGTAATGGGAAACTACCATCAGCAAGTGACAAGCAGCAGCATCTTGCATCAGGTGGCCCAAAGGAGGGCAAATAGACGGAACACGTCCAACGTTACATCCGATGACGACTCGGAGACGGAGGACGACGAAGGCGGCGCATCAGCGTGACCGGGGACTAGGAAGTCCCGAATTCATCATAAGGTTATAAGGTAAGGTCACATACGGTACTACCACAGCGAGGACACATACCCACAGCAAGGACCACATACCCTCAGCAAGGACCACATATCCACAGCAATGATTTTCCACCCACATCGCTAGAAACGCCAAGATCAACAGGGTCCACGCTGCCAACCACCTTGCGCTGCATCAGAGTAAGCCTTGCTGTCTCAACTCAGCAGGTCTTCTGATCAGCACTGTCTCAGCTCAGTGAGTCTTATACTCAGCAAAGTCAACTCAGTGAGTCTTCTGCTCAGCTCAGCGCTGCATCAACGCCGCTTGGTCCTGACATCACGCACGCTTAGAGCGCGAGCTTTGAGAATGGATGCTTTCTCCTGTCCACGTTTTGTCCCAAAGCATTCCACGCTTTGAGACAATCCCGTGAAGGCAGCGGCCTTCCTGCGCGCCCTTTGGGCATTTGAATTTCTCATATCATTCACCACCTGAGCTGCGAAGGAACAATATCCTGACATGCACTTGTTGGTGGTAATTGGGCAGTACTCCAGCCGCTAACGGTCAAGACGTGCGATCGTTGGCGAGTATTGGGCAGTAATTCCACAACCAGCGGGCAAGACTTGCGATCGTTGGCGAGTATCGGGCAGTAATTCCACAACCAGCGGGCAAGACTTGCGATCGTTGACAGACGACATCTACGCACACGACATCTACCCAGACGACATCTACGCACACGACATCTACCCAGACGACATCTACGCACACGACATCTACGCCCACGACATTTACGCACACGACATTTACGCACACGACATTTACGCACATGACATTTACGCACACGACATTTACGCACACGACATCTACGCCCACGACATTTACGCACACGACATTTACCCACCATACGACATCTACGCAGACATCTACCCACACGCCATTTACGCACAGGACATTTACGCACACGACATCTACGCACAACGACATTTACGTACACACACGCGCGACATGCACGCACACCTCAAGTTACTTGTACTGCCCCACACATCAAATGCGTCTCCCGCTCAAAAATGTTTCAATAGTAACCAAATATTTTGCTGCGATATTTACAATTCTCTCTCGTTCATCCTCGACCATGTCGACGATCTTGGCGAACTCCTTGAGGGACGAGCCGATGACGATCTCATCGTCGGTCTGACTGCTGCCGATGCACTCGAACTTGAACACGCTCAGGCTGTTGCTCAGCCGACGCTGCGCCCGTGACAGCTCTGCACACACAGCACATGTATTAGTTATCCCTACATGTGTTACAATCACTAAAATATACTATAGTTAAATTGTAGTACCGATATATTAACATAAACGATAAAATTAATTTTTATATTAATAACTTATTAATCAACACATAATTGCACTTGGGAAGATATTGAAGGCCTATGAATACAGAACGCGATTTAGGACCGATGAGCTAGTTTAATTTTTATCTACAACCCAAGTTTTAGGTCTTTATTCGTACTGAGAAAATGAGGTTTGATCACGTGCAAACATTATATCAACACAACAATACAATAAATTTTATTGGTGTGACCGAAGAGTTTAATACAAAAATATAACTCAGTAGGTACTACTCACTACAGTGAGTGACAGAGAGCGCATTTTCTCGTCGACGAAAACTTGAGGTCACGGACAGACGGACAGACAGACAGACGGACATGGCGAGCACAATAGTGCATTTTTTCCATAAATGAGAAAATGCGCTAAAAAGACCTCACTTCATGTACGTATAGTGGCACGGACACTCAGCTGTCAGGGCGTCTGAAAAATCGGGAGCAAGCCTCTTCCTCGCGCTTCAGAGGTGTTACATTTGTAAAAAATATTAATAAATTCGAAACACAATGGAAAATCATAAGAAACATAGACTGCAGCACAAGCTGAATTTCATTATCTTCAACTAGAAACAGAATATTGGCCCCGGCATGAATACAACTGACAGACGGAATGCAATGTCTGAGTCAGACGTGAGGATATGATCGTGAGACGTGACAAAAACATGACGGAAGTCCTGCCGAGGACGCTACAGAAGTGCAGAGAAAGTGAGAGAAAAAAGTGCATGAGCTTCAACGGCAAGAAGTGGATGAGGTGAACGCAGTCACAATGAGCAAACATCCCCTACTGCTGCTCAGCAGCCACTCCCCCTCACATCCCCTACTGCTGCTCAGCAGCCACTCCCCCTCACATCCCAGGATGCAGGAACAAGGGTTTAATAAATGTAATGTAATGCAGGAATAAGGGATTATATCCTTCAGTTTTTTGTACAGGGAGATAGTCCGCGATTCTATACAAGTCGCGGACTTGAAAATAGACGTCAAGGGGTCGAGTCAAGTCTGCATAATTGATATTTTCTGAGGAATGTTGTCCTGCGACATGTAGCATCATGTGCTGGCAGTGCAGGGCAGAAAATGTACGTTTCTTGCAGCAGTATCAGCGTAGGCACACACTGAGCTGTTGACAGCTGCATATTGTGCAGCTGTTCTGATGGCTGCAGCGATGAGATGAGGCTGGATATGGCAAGCGTGTGGTGCCGCGTGCGTGGCTGTGACAACGGGGAGCGATGAAGAACAACTTGCAGCAATCCAAGAATAAAATAATTGCCAAAATTTGTGGCAAATTTTCACACACAATAATTAGCACAAGTCGTCTCTCCACAAAATAAATTAGACAATTCCATTCACAATTCCGACATGTATGGGGAAGACAAAATTCCGAAATAGAAAATGATAACTAAGATCAATAGGTGGAGTTGAAAGAATTTTCCAAGTTTGCAGCTTGAAGGCAGCCAAGCATAACGCCCCACAATACGGTCATGTCGCAAGGCAATGCGTAGCTTTAAGCACACGCGCGTTGATGTTGACGTACGAAGTTAATGAAGAAATTATATAGAATGTTCAGAGATGAAATAAACTCAAATAGAAGAGACTCAATGAATAATCCCTTATATTTGCTTAGAAAGATCAAGAGCGGGAGGTTCAGAGGTTCAGAGTGGAAGGTTCAGAGCGGGAGGTTCAGAGTGGGAGATAACATTGAATATAGCGTTACACACTCGTGACGTAAGATATTGGGTGTGAGGCGTGACGTGAGATGTTGGGCAAGGTGTGACGTGAGGCTAGTGCTCGGGACGAATTAGCATTCGTGTTGCACACCTCAGCCAGAGCCTGCCACATGGCGCAGTCTCTGCCCGCCACATGGCGCAGTCTCTGCCACCACATGGCGCAGTCTCTGCCCGCCACATGGCGCAGTCTCTGCCCTGTCTCTTATACACATCTAGATGTGTATAAGAGACAGTCTCAAGTTCTCGTCGGCAGGCGACATTCATCGTGACTACGCATTTGTGTGTTCAAGATCAAGATTTTGGCTGCGGTTGAAATTTTCAACTTTGGGCATGTCGACACGAGCATGTTATTTAAGCTGCTCCTGTTCATATGCTTAAGGTTTTAATTTCTATAAATCAACGCGTCAACTGGATTAAGAGTAGTCGGAACTCGAAAGCTTACCATTGCCAAGGAAGCATGCTAGCCCTGTCTCTTATACACATCTAGATGTGTATAAGAGACCGGCATTATGGTGGTGCTGGAGAAGAAGTTCAAGTATTCACGTAAGACTTCACTTCATTTCTGCCGCTCTACACTTCACGTACAATAAGATTCACTGTAATCCAGCACAGGTGAACTACACGTCACTATACCTGCATTGCACTTCACTGTACAGCCCTACAGGTGCACTATTAATTACGTGAAACGTGTCTTGCACTATCACCATCTGTACACCAACAATATTACCGCACCCTGCACCACGGAAATTTACGTTATTAATAACATCACACCACGGCCACCATTTGATAACGGCCATTACAAAACAGATGAGCAGGCAAGTCGGCTGAGCAAACACTGCTCAACTTAGGCATGGCTACTGCCGAGCAGTGAGCGAAGTGTCCACGAGCAGAGACACTGTTCAGTGAGCGTGAATACGATGTTTAGTCAGTGAGAGTGAGTACAATATTCAGTCAGTGAGCGTGAGTACAATATTCAGTCAGCGAGTGTAGGTACAATATTCAGTCAGTGAGCGCGAGTACAATATTCAGTCAGTGAGCGTGAGTACAATATTCAGTCAGCGAGTGTAGGTACAATATTCAGTCAGTGAGCGNAGTGAGTGTTGTAACAATCATCTCAGTGAGTGAGTGTTGTAACAATCATCTCAGTGAGTGTTGTAACAATCATCTCAGTGAGTGTTGTAACAATCATCTCAGTGAATGTTGTAACAATCATCTCAGTGAGTCATCAGTGAGATCATCTCAACAATCATCACAGTGAGTGTTGTAAAAATCATCACAGTGAGTGTTGTAACAATCATCTCAGTGAGTCATCAGTGAGATCATCTCAACAATCATCACAGTGAGTGTTGTAACAATCATCTCAGTGAGTGAGTGTTGTAACAATCATCTCAGTGAGTGAGTGTTGTAACAATCATCTCAGTGAGTGAGTGTTGTAACAATCATCACAGTGAGTGTTATAACAATCATCCTAGCGAGTGAATGTTGTAACAATCATCTCAGCGAGTGAGTGTTGTATAATCTCAGTCAGTGAGCGTGAGCACCAACTGAGTCAAATATCAAAAGTCAGTGAGCGTGAGCACCAACACGAACGATCGCGGCGGCAGGCGGGAGCGGCGCGCACCTCATACGCCGGCAGCGGAGCCGCGACTGGCGGACAGTGCCAGCACAGCGCCAGCCTGCGCGGCGCTGAGCCGACACGAGGGCAGCGAACACAGACACGCAGCGAACACAGGGCCGCGGGGGGCACGCTCCCAGTGAAAAATTTACAGACGCATCAGCTTCTGATTTGGATTACCAGAAGCTGGGGCGATTCTAAATTTTGTTAGGGCTGGAGTATAAGGAGCAGCGTGGGGCACGCTGGAGCATAAGGAGCAGCGTGGGGCACGGCTGCATGTCTCGCAATGAACCCAATAACGTCCCCGCCAATGGGGAGCGTATAGGAATGCCGTAGAAGCGTAGAGAAATATTGACTCGTGCAGCGATAGCAGCCATGCGTGCGGCAGAAGTAAGAAGGCACTGAGGAAGGAAGCAGATTGAATGCAGATAGCAATCAATTGATTGTCTTGATTGCGCAAGGCGCAATCAAGACAACAATCGGGCGCAAAACTGGACAGCGGCGCCTGCCGAAGATGGAGCGACTAAGGTAACATGACGAGCGTTCGACTTACCAACAGACGGGACTCATGGTTCAAAAATTAACACCTATACCGCGATACCTCGACTTACGAACGCCTCTACTTACAAACTTTTCCAGATACGAAACGGAGGTTCGCAATTTTTCTGCCTCCATATGCGAACATGTCACTGCTCACGAACTGATTTTCAGTTCGACATCATAACCTATATTCCGTTGTTCACAGCATCCTACTCATAAGACCTGGCCACTTCCTCCGAGTGGTGGTCGCTGCAACATTTCCGGTATTACACGTCCGCAATTTTTTTGCTTCTCAATTCTATATTTTATTTAATTGTGTTAAGACATATTATATACGGCACTCGTGCACTATTAGATTATGGCACCTAAGATGGCTACTTAAAAAAAATGGTGAAGGCAGTGTTGACGCTCGATATAGAATGCGAGATGCGTTCTTTGTTGAGTATTTTATGGTGTTAACCCTCTACCGCCTGACACGAGTAACCGGAGCAATATTGTCACAAGCCTACTTCCCAAAAAGGATACGTTCTAGTGAGCGCAAAATGCTGTCTCTTATACACATCTAGATGTGTATAAGAGACAGGGTATGAGTGGGTNAATAATGATTTGATCGTAGGAGCGCTCCAGCTGCACGAACAATTGATCGTAATAATGATTTGATCGTAGGAGCGCTCCAGCTGCACGAACAATTGATCGTAATAATGATTTGATCGTAGGAGCGCTCCAGCTGCACGAACAATTGATCGTAATAATGATTTGATCGTAGGAGCGCTCCAGCTGCACGAACAATTGATCGTAATAATGATTTGATCGTAGGAGCGCTCCAGCTGCACGAACAATTGATCGTAATAATGATTTGATCGTAGGAGCGCTCCAGCTGCACGAACAATTGATCGTAATAATGATTTGATCGTAGGAGCGCTCCAGCTGCACGAACAATTGATCGTAATAATGATTTGATCGTAGGAGCGCTCCAGCTGCACGAACAATTGATCGTAATAATGATTTGATCGTAGGAGCGCTCCAGCTGCACGAACAATTGATCGTAATAATGATTTGATCGTAGGAGCGCTCCAGCTGCACGAACAATTGATCGTAATAATGATTTGATCGTAGGAGCGCTCCAGCTGCACGAACAATTGATCGTAATAATGATTTGATCGTAGGAGCGCTCCAGCTGCACGAACAATTGATCGTAATAATGATTTGATCGTAGGAGCGCTCCAGCTGCACGAACAATTGATCGTAATAATGATTTGATCGTAGGAGCGCTCCAGCTGCACGAACAATTGATCGTAATAATGATTTGATCGTAGGAGCGCTCCAGCTGCACGAACAATTGATCGTAATAATGATTTGATCGTAGGAGCGCTCCAGCTGCACGAACAATTGATCGTAATAATGATTTGATCGTAGGAGCGCTCCAGCTGCACGAACAATTGATCGTAATAATGATTTGATCGTAGGAGCGCTCCAGCTGCACGAACAATTGATCGTAATAATGATTTGATCGTAGGAGCGCTCCAGCTGCACGAACAATTGATCGTAATAATGATTTGATCGTAGGAGCGCTCCAGCTGCACGAACAATTGATCGTAATAATGATTTGATCGTAGGAGCGCTCCAGCTGCACGAACAATTGATCGTAATAATGATTTGATCGTAGGAGCGCTCCAGCTGCACGAACAATTGATCGTAATAATGATTTGATCGTAGGAGCGCTCCAGCTGCACGAACAATTGATCGTAATAATGATTTGATCGTAGGAGCGCTCCAGCTGCACGAACAATTGATCGTAATAATGATTTGATCGTAGGAGCGCTCCAGCTGCACGAACAATTGATCGTAATAATGATTTGATCGTAGGAGCGCTCCAGCTGCACGAACAATTGATCGTAATAATGATTTGATCGTAGGAGCGCTCCAGCTGCACAAACAATTGATCGTAATAATGATTTGATCGTAGGAGCGCTCCAGCTGCACGAGCAATTGATCGTAATAATCATCGAAACAACGATTACCTCTTACGATAACAATGAGCGATCGAAATCAGCCCAATAATTAGCTAATGTTAAAGTTTTGCTACCCAGGAAATGACGCAGCTTCAAGTTAGAACGCGTCAGAGGAGTCAGGGATGGTAAAGACTTCATCAGCGAGGACCACACACCCAGAGCGAGGACCACATACCCTCAGCGAGGACCACATACCCTCAGCCAGGACCACATACCCACAGCCAGGACCACATACCCACAGCCAGGACCACATACCCACAGCCAGGACCACATACCCACAGCAAGGACCACATACCGCAGCAAGGACCACATACCTACAACGAGAACCACATACCACAAGGGCACAAAGTGAATAGCGCTGTCTCACTCCTCTCAGTCCCTACATCACGCACGCTTAGGGCGCGAGCTTTGAGAATGGAGGCTTTCTCCTGTCCATGCATTGCCCCAAGTATTCCACACTTTGGGACAATCCCGCGAAGGCAGCGGCCTCCTTGCGCGCCCTTTGGGCATTTGAATTTCTCATGTCGTTCACCACCTGAGCCGCGAAGAAACAATATCCTGACATGAACTTGTTGGTGGGTATTGCGCAGCACTCCCGCCGCTAACGGTCAAGAAGTGCGCCCGTTGACGTGTTTTGGGCAGCAATTTCGCCGCTAACGGTTAAGACGTGCGTCTGTTTGCGGGTGTCGGGCAGTAATTCCACAACCAGCGGGCAAGACTTGCGATCGTTGGCGAGTATCGGGCAGTAATTCCACAACCAGCGGGCAAGACTTGCGATCGTTGGCGAGTATCGGGCAGTAATTCCACAACCAGCGGGCAAGACTTGCGATCGTTGGCGAGTATCGGGCAGTAATTCCACAACCAGCGGGCAAGACTTGCGATCGTTGGCGAGTATCGGGCAGTAATTCCACAACCAGCGGGCAAGACTTGCGATCGTTGGCGAGTATCGGGCAGTAATTCCACAACCAGCGGGCAAGACTTGCGATCGTT